CCAAAGTATGAAACTAGGTGAAAATGTGAAGCAAGTAAAAAATAGGGGACAAACCCCCACAATTTTCTGGGGGTTTGGGTTATTCTATATATGGCAAAAGGCACTGTTTCCTTCACTGCTTTCAAAGGCATATTTTCAGCTGTTCCCTTAGCAGAAGAAAGAATATTTCCAATGCCTTTCTGTTTTCAATTCCTTCAGGTTGCTACTCCTTGAAGTTTGGGTTTTGGTTGTTTGTTTTTTTTTTATGGCAGCAAACCTAAGCTGATTTTCCCAAGCCAGGACAAGTTTTCCTCTGGGACTTTCCTCATCATATTTGATTTTGCCCAGTGGGCAAAGCTGAAGATCACTGGGAGGACAGCAGCAAGCATTTTCTGGGAAAAAAAAAAAAAAAGAAAATCAAATCCAGAAAGGTTTGGAGGTTCTGCCAGGGTCACCACAAAAAGTGTGGTGTGTAGCAGGGTTGGTTCTCTGCTTGGGATCTCCACCATTGGCTGGAAACCACCAATTAATGGGATTTTGAACAGGCTGACATTGCTCTGATCAGCCCTCATGTTTTGCTTTTGTGCCACGTGCTGATCCCCACCATTTCCCACCTGTGTGAGTGGGAGCTGCTCTGTTGTCCCCATCCTCAGAGGTTCTGAAGGGTGGTTTCTCACAGCCACCCCAGAAAACTCCAGTTAGGTTGCCATGCACTGCCCTCTAATGCCATTTCGGCATATTAGCACCCCTCACCCTCAGAGGAGATCTGCAACATAAAACAAATCATCCACATCCACCAAAAACTGCTATCAATGCTTTAGGGAAATGAGACATAAATGAGACATTTAATGGCTGCTTTTTCCCCATCCCAGCACTGCTTTATTTTACACATTCTTAAAGATCACCATCAGGGAGAAAAATGAGAACTCCCTATTTACCTTTTCTGGGCCATTTTGGGTGCTTGATGCTTCCAAGGTCCCCTTCAGCTGCCTGTTTTCACCCAGCACATCTGATTTCTTTATTTTTTACTGCACTGCTGCTTCTTGGAGAGGATGAGATACCCAGGAGTGCAGGTGGCCACTCAAACGTTCATGTGCGTGTTGGATTTATGAGGATACGTTCTCCTTTTTTAAGATTTTAATGCTTCCCAGCAGCCTGTTTGCTTTCCTGCTTCCTTCCTTCACTAAATAGGCATTTCAGGAAAATGGTCCACAATGAATGCAGCATCTCTTTCCTTAATGGAAGCAGCTGATTTAGAGCTGCTGCTGTGTGTGTTTTGTTAGTGCTATTTTGTCTTGTGTGCATTGCTTTGCATTCATTAACAGTGGGCCCCATCTGCTATCTCATCACTGAGCCAGTGCCACGCTATCCTTCTGCAACTTCTTGCTTACAGCTTTTGGCTGATTACTCTGAAAAAAATTGGGATTTGCAGCAGATTTCACCACCTTGGCTGTACACCTTTTCCAGGTGGGCTGTTGGTACAATGAGCAGTTCCAACCAAGGCTGGTGGCTCTTCTCACAGTGGGAAAATCAGTTTATTCACAGCTTTTTGGATCTCCTCTCCTCTCCTCTCCTCTCCTCTCCTCTCCTCTCCTCTCCTCTCCTCTCCTCTCCTCCC